AGTGAGGTCCATGTGTACAGTCATTTCTTATGCTGTCTAAAGAAGGTATTTGAAATGAACAAATCATTGGTTTTGCAGAATTCTATCATGCGTTCTCCAACATCATTTCTATCACCAAGACCATATCTTCCAAGTACTGATCTTTCCTCTTTGCTCCCAACCTTTGCATTCCAATCACCAGTAATGATCAATGCATCTTGATTGCATGTTTGGTCAATTTCAGATTGAAGAAGTTGGTAGGATTCTTCTATTTCATCCTCACTGGCTTTAGTGGTTGGTGCATAAACCTGAATAATAGTGGTATTAACTGGGCTTCCCTGTAGGCGCATGGATATTATCCTATCACAGACAGCATTGTATCTCATGACTGGTCTGGATATGTTCTTTTTGATGATGAATGCAATACCATTCCTCTTCAATTTGTCATTCCCAGCATAGTAGATCATGTGGTTGTCAGATTCAAAATGGCCAATACCAGTCCATTTCAGCTCACTAATGCCTAAGATATCTATGTTTATGCGTTCCATTTCATTTTTGACAACTTCCCATTTTCCCAGATTCATACTTCGTACATTTCATGTTCTGATTTTCAGTGGATGTTTACAGCTGTTTCTCTTCATTTTGAGTTGTGCCCCATCAGCAAATGAAGGTCCCACGGGCTTTTTTCTCACGGGCTTTACTCCATTCGCATTATCACGGTCAACTCTACTTTGAGGAGGCAGCTCTTTCCCAGTTGCATTTTGAGTGCCTTCCAACCTGAGGGGCTCATTTTCTGGTACTATATCTGACAGTGTTTCTCTGTTATTCATAAGGTTTTCAGTGACTAAATATTCAGAAGTAGTTCGTCATTCTTTCTTCCTAGTCTGTCTTCATCTGGAGGCTCATCTGAAACCTGTCCACCATGGGTGACCCTGCTGGTATTTAAAATACCAGTGGCACAGCTTTCAGAATCAGAGCAACTCACAAGCCACCACAGTATGACAAACTGACAGATGAGTGGTGGCCGTTTGGTTTTAAGTGGAAACGGTCACTTTAAATTTCGAGAAGATCTGTGTGCATGCGTAGTAGAACTATCAATGGGGTGGGGATGGGGTGTGCATTTGCTCAGGTATCCATCCCCTCTAGTCACCAGAATGGAGGTGTGCAGACAGTGTGTGATCAACAGATACCAAAAAAAGAATGTCCACACCTGCATCTCCGCGGTTCTGTCAGGCGTTCGTTTCTGTTCTGATCCTTCCCCTGCTTGGTCTCTCCCAAAATGGGGGCTCCAGGAGCAGCTGAGCATCTTGACTTAGAAAGCAATGGATTTCTTGATTCTGCTACAAATTTCTCTAGCTATAAACCTTCCAAGCTACTAAATATTCCCTTATACGTGGTTCAGAGTCCTAGCACCATCCCCTGAGCCTGCTTGGTCCAGTATTCTGTGTTGTTGCTGATGGAGCTCCTTACTGCACGTCAGGAACCCTAGTGGTGTAGTGTATTGGAGGAGAGTATTAAAAGTGCCATGGGCTGCCAAAAGAACCAACAGATCTGTGTTGGAAGAAGTGCAACCAGAGTGCTCCTTGGAGGGCAGCATGGCCAAACATCGTCTCTCATAATTCAGACACGTTGTCAGGAGGGAACAGTCGCTGGAGAAGGATATCATGTTTGGTAAGATGGAAGGTCAGAGAAAAAGAGGTCAGAAAAAAACCCAGTGAGATGGATTGGCAAAGTGGCAGCACTAATGGGCTCAAATGTGGCAACAAATGTGAGGTTGGCCCACAGCCGGGCAGTGTTTTGTTCTGTTGTACATAGGATCGCTATGAGACTGTACCAATTATATGACACCTAACAGCAACAACAAGTGGTGTAGTGGAGTCCTGGTATAGTGTTGTATGATAAAAACTCTACCGCCTGCCAAGGTCAGTTAAAACTGCAAGGTTGGAGGTTCAAACTTTCCAGCCACTCCTTGGAAACCCAATACAGGGTCACTATGGGTTGGAACCCACTCGATGACAGTTAACAACAAGAAAGTGATATAGTGAGTTATGAATTGGGCTGCTAACTACAAGATCAGAAGTTCAAATCCACTAGCTGTTCTGCAGGAGAAAGATGAGATTTTCTGTTCCCATAAAGATTTATAGCCTAGGAAACCCTACACAGGGTCGCTATGAGTCGGAACCGACTCCATAGCATACCACAATCACCACCAGTTATGTATATATACATGCAGATTAATTCATTCTTCCTACAACTTCCTGTCCTATAACTTCATCATGGTTATCACACATGTATACAACCACCTATACAAATTAGCAGCTAAAGGCAAATTAACGAGAGATGTTGTTGTTGTTGTTGTTAAGTGCTGTCGAGTCAGTTCTGACTCATAGCTATCCTATATAGGGTTTCTGAGAAGTGGCTGGTGAGTTTGTACCGCTTACCTTGTTGTTCAAACCAAACTTGAGGTCCAGTGCTTATCCTAGGGTGCCACATAAATGATATACTCTGAGTAACAAATAGTAAACTTAGTGACCTGGTCACTCAAAGCAATAGCACAAAAGAGCTTAACTAATATGGTAAAAAAAAATCCTTAAACAGTTATTAAGAGGAACCAGTAAAATTTGAAGTACAATCATAAGACCTTGAAATTGATGTCACTGAAGAAAAGTCTGGTTTCTTAAAACACATACTATTAGGAACCAAATATTAAAGTGGTCTCAGCAATCTTGTGAGTCAATGTTTATTTATGTCTCTCAAATCCTTATACACTTTCATACTATACTGGATAAAGTACACCTCTGTTTGCCTTTTAAGAATTTCAGGTTGTTTTAGGAGTCCTAGAAGCATAGTGGGTTACATATTGGGTAGCTAATCACAAGGTTATTTTAGGGTGGTTTAATTTGTCCTTGTTCATTCATTTTTTTCCTACTTTCAACAAGTATTTCCAGAGTGTCTAGTATGTCTCAGGTACAGTGCCTACAGTGAGGACATCTAAGAAAGAAAAGAGGATCAGAATACATACATTAAGTACCTACCAGTGTCAGGCACTTAAACTTATATCCTTACTGACTACTTGTCAGTCCATCAATTTCCAAATCACGTCACTTTTAATGCTACCTTGCTACTAAACCCAAAACTTTTTGCAGGCTAGAACTTGTTAAGTATCGTTGATCCAGTTCTGATTTATAGCAACCCTTTACAAGATTTCTAAGGAGCAGCTGGTAGGTTTGAACTGCTTACCGTGTGGTCCAGTGTTTATCCTACAGCACTATACCAGGGCTCCTGGACATTAATTGTATTCACTGGGCACACCACAATGCTTGACATACACCAGGTATTTATTTAAATTTGCTAAATTAGTTTGGTCACAGGGAAGACATTATGAGACTTGTCCTTAATGTCATATTCTGTACCACCACCTGTTTTTCTCTTCTTGGCACAGTACACAAAACAAGAACAGCATCTATGGCACTAATAGCCAAGGCTGCTGGCAGCTAACTGGATCAAGGAGCTGTCCCCGTGGCACTTCTGATTCATTCTCCGTGAGCCAGAGAGGTTGTTTATAGTCACATTATCTCCCCAGAGGAAACAACCCTTCCCATGAATACATATTTTATTATCACTGAGGAAACTGACCAGTCGTCTCAAGGGTAAAGGAAAATATGACGGAACTCCTACTAAATGTTTAGAACCGTTCTTGAAAATAAGAATAAAAGGCTCCGAACGTCATGCTATTGTTAAGTGCCATGGAGTCAGTCTAACTTACAGCAACCCTATACAGGGTTTCCGAGAAATGACTGGTGGGTTTGAACAAATGACCTTGCAGTTAGAAGTCCAGTGCTTCTTCGACAGCACCACAACATGACTCTTACCTAATTGTAAGTGCTGACAGATGAGTGCATACTTAGTTGCATTATGGACTCTTGGTGTGGCGCTGTGGGTTAGTGAGCTGGACTGCAAAGTCAGTTTGAACCGCAAGGTCGGCGGTTCAAGCTCACCAACTGGTCCTCAGAAACCCTATACAGGGTTGTTATGGGTCTGAACCAACTTGATGGCACTTAACAACAACAACATTTGTTCATTATAAAAGTATTTTTAATTCCATGATTTTCCCAACTTCCTCCCTTGGGCAGAAACGTTCATTATCATTCATTTATTTAAAATTATTTCAATTACCTTTAATTTCATCCTCCAAAATCCAATCTGACAGAGAATCCATTTGATTCTTGACATGTCCTGGGATTAATCCTTTTTTTCTATTTCCACTTTCATTACTAGGTTTTTATGACCTCAAACCAGGATATAGCTGTTTAGCTGATCTCCATATTGATATATATATATTTTTTGTATTTCAATCATCCTGCAGGATGCTGTTTTAGGGGGGCATGTGCCCGTTGTTGTTATGTGCTGTGGAGTTGGTTCCGACTCATAGCGACCCTGTACAGGGTTTCCAAGGCTGTAAATCTTTACAGGAACGAAAGCCTCATCTTTCTCCCGCAGAATAACTGGTAGTTTTGAACTGCTGACCATGAGTTTCACAGCCCGATTCGTAACCACTACACTACCAGAGCTCCTTATGTACCCATTACAGCAGATCAAAATCATTAGTGATTTTGCCTCTCCCACTATATTGCTCTCAATTATCACACTGAACTTCTGTTAGTGACATCTGGGTTGGGCAAGAAGTCCAAAGTCACAACACAACACTAATCTTTCCTAGTCACTTTCAACCAACCTCCTGTTTTCTACTCCCCCATACAATCTTGTCCGCCATCAGGCGGCTGGTGGTGGTGGGATGCGATGGATATCCTCTCTCACTGCCTCTGACACATGCTACATTTGAGCAACCACAAAACCAGGTATTCTCTTTTTTATTTTATAGGAAAAAAATATTTTAATTTCATTCCTATTTGACAAAATAATCAAAATCACCACGTCCCACTTTTTAGCACACTCTATATACTTCTCAGAAGAATGCATGTAGAATGCTAAAACCCCTCAAGGTTTTGCTCTGTACCAACCTTCTGTCTTCCACGAAAGACATTTGCAGTAGCTCCTTGGCCTAAAATATCAGATAAAAGCCACAGATGATTAGAAGTGCTCTGCATCTCTGCGCGGGTAGGCGATCCTCCTGCCACACCAAGAGAAAAGAACAGGTTTGCTCATATCTTAAGGAAAAATACTTTTAAGAAATAAATGTTACGTATGTTAATCACATATTATTTAATACTCAGCTAAAGTGTACAAACAATCCTATGCAAAAAAACTAAGTTTCTAGAAATCCTAGAATAAAGAATTAACTGGTAATAGTTTGCATTCTATTTAGTTCACTTATCACCAGACTGAAAGAAAACACTCAGTTCCTTCTAATTTTGTTCTTCTCAAGGAGAGTGATATTGACCATTTCTTTCCTTCAAATGTTTTGAAAGATTAATCAATTAGGAGTTATATTGTAAAGTATTTAAAATAAAGAAAAATAATAGGGCAAACTATAGCAGAAATATAGAACAGTTACTTTGCTTTTTCCTATGGCAGGGTAATATTACTTACAACTGTTGCTGCTACATAATAAAACACTTCCAGAATCTAAACTTTCACTTGTACAGAACCTGACTATCAATATGAAAGTGTTAAAAACTGACTAGTCCTGAAAGGTTATTAACTCTTCAGAAAATAATTTACAGATTTTTTTTCCAACCTCACCAGCCACATCTCGGATACCCTCTATTGGGTCGCTATGGATGGGAACTGACTCAATGGCACTTAACAACAACAAAGTATAGAAATGCTTATCAAGCGTGCATTACCAAGTTTTAAAAAATAAACATTGGTCTTAGCCTTGCCCTTAAATATTGAAAATCTCATATTTGAGCTCCAAGTTGGAACAAAAGGTCTAAGGTTTGCTAATAAAACATAAATACCAAGGTGGTCCTAGAAGCATCTTGATCCTGCTGTAATGCCAAATTGAAGCATAGATCTTACTATCATGTTATAGTAAATTAGGACTAAAAGAGTATGCTGGATTAGGTGTCCAGTGATGAACTGATGACTCTGAATATTTCCAGTGGTCCTATGGTTTAGGTTTTGAGCTGTTAACTGCAAGATTGGTAGTTCAAACCCATCAATTGCTTCTGTGGGGAAAGATAACTCTGTCTGCTCCGGTAAAGATTTAGTTCCTTAAATCCTGTATAGGGTCATTATGAGTTAGAATTGATGGCACAGCAGTGGGTAATATTCCTATTAGGGTTGTTGTTAGGTGCTGTCGAGTGAGCGCTGATTCATAGTAACAATATGCACAATTGCTACGTTTAAGTCCTTTGTTTTAGCCACTGTGTCAATGCATCTTGTTGGGAAGATCTTCCTCTTTTTTTGTATAAATCCTCTACTTTACCAAACATGATGTCCTTTTCCAGGGACTGGTGCCTCTTGATAACATGACCAAAGTTTGTGAGATGAAGTCTTGCCATCATCGCTTCTAACAAGCATTCTGATGGTACTTCTTCAAACAGATATGTTTGTTCTTCTGGAGGTCCCTGGCACTTTCGATACTGTTAGCCAAAATCATACTTCAAATGCATTAATTATTTTCTGGTTTTCCTAACTGATTGTCCAGCTTTCATGTGCAAACAAGACAATGGAAAATACCATGGCTCCATCTAGATTTATCGTCCAGCCACTCCTCAGGAGAAAGACGAGGCTTTCTGCTCCTGAGAAGATTGAAAGTCTCAGAAACCCAATACAAGGTCGCTATGAGTCGGAACTGACTTCACAGCACTTGACAGCAACATCTTCATCCTCAAAGTGACATAAAGAGGCCTTCTGCAGCAGATTCCCCAGAGCAATCTGTTCTTTGAGTTCTTGACTACTACTTCTGTGAACACTGCTTGTGAATCCAAGTCAAATGAAGTCCTTGACAATTTCAACCTTTTCTCCTTTTATCATGATGTTCTTTATTGATCCAGTTGTGAGGGTTTTTTTTTTTGTTTTACGTCATGGTGTAATCCATATAGAAGGGTTCATGCAGTCTTTGATCTTCAAGTCCTCTGAGTAAGGTTATATCATGTGTATTATCACAGGTTGTTAAGGAGTCTTCTTCCAATCCTGATGCCACTTCTTGGATTATTTAATCATATAGACCAGTTTCTTGAATTACTTGCTCAGCATACAGATTAAATATGGTAAAATGATACAACCCTGACATACACCTTTCCTGATTTTAAACCATTCAGTATCCCCTTATTCTTTTAGAATGACTGCCTCTTGGTTTCTCATGAGCACAACTAAGTGTTCTAAAATTTCTAATCTTCACATTGCCATTTATAGTTTGTTATGATCCACACAATCAAATGCTTTGCATTCAATAAAGCACAAGTAAATATCTTTCTCCTGGTGTGATGCTGTAGATCAGCACTGCGAACCACAAGGACAGCAGTTCAAACCTACCAGCTATTCCTCAGACACCCAGTAATGGTTCCCCTCCTTCCATATCCTCTTTTGAATCCAGCTGGAATTTCTGGCAGTTCCCTGTTGATGTACTGTTGATTCATCTTAAGCAAAATTTTATTTGCATGTGATATTAATGATGCTGCTTGAAAGCTTCTGCATTCTCGTGGGTCATCTTTCTTTGGAATGGGCACAAATATGGATCTCTTCCAGTCTTAGTATTCTAAAGATTTAAGGAGCCTTGGTGTTGTACCAATTTAAGCGTTGGACTGCTAACTGAAAGGGCCGCTATGACCCTATGCATGCATATTCCTTATTCCTAGGCTGTTCTTAGTCTGGAAATTCCACTGAAACTCATTGGTATTTAAAATACCAGTGGCATAGCTTTCAGCAACACACAAGCCACCATAGTACGACAAACTGATAGACGTGTGGGGGCAATGATTGGAAGAGATCCAATAGGGAGGACTGTTGTTGCTGTTAAATGCTGCCAAGTTGGTTCTGATTCAAAGGGACTTTGTACAGAGTTTCTGAGGCTATAAGTCTTTTCAGGAGCAGAAGCCTCATCTTTCTCCTGCAGAGTGGCTGGTGGGCTCCAATTGCCAATGTTATGATTCCCAGCCCAGTGCTTATCCTATGGAGCCACCAGCACTCCCTGAGTAGGATTGCTGTTGTTGTTGTTAAGTGCCATCGAACAGGTTCTGACTCACAGGAAACCCATACAGGGTTTCCAAGGAAGCTGGTGAGTTTGAACCACCAACCTAGCAGTTCAATCCAACCTTGCAGTCCAGCACTTATCTTATCGTACCACACCAGAACTCCTCCTAAGTAGGGTTGTTATTGCTAAGTGCCATCGAGTTAGTTCCAACCCACAGCAAGCTTGTATAGGGTTTCCAAGGAGCAGCTGGTGAGCTTGAGCTGCTGACCATGTGGTTCAAACTGACTTTGCAGTCTGACTGTGCATTAACCCACAGAGCCACACCGGGACTCAGAGTTAAGAATATATAAGTAGCCAGGGATCTAAAGTTCACCAATCTTTGGTGTTAAAAAACTCCCTCACTGCTGTTGAGCCTATTCTGATTCATAGCAGCCCTAGAGGACAGAGTAGAATGGCCCTAGAGGGAAGAAGACAGTCTCATCTTTCTCCCATGGAGTAGTTAGTTGATGGGTTTGAACCACTGACCTTTTGGCTAGCAGATGAGCACTTAAGCATCACATGACCACCTACTGCCATCAAGTTGATTCCCATCACAGCGACCCTATAGGACAGAAGAGAACTATTCCGTAGGATTTCTGTGACTGCAAATCTTTACTGGAACAAAGAGTATCATCTTTCTCCTGTGAAGTGGCTGGTGGGTCGGAACCATTGACTTTTCAGTTAGCAGCCCAATAGTTAATCCACTGCACCGCCAGAGCTCTTCATTACATATCAGAGCTCCTTAAAGTTTTGGTATACTAGACATATTTTTATAATTTTTCCATACATCTCATCAAAATAAGGAATTCTATCCGGAGAAATTTACTGGGAATAAGCAGGAAAAAATAAGATCCCTTTTTCTTGAATAAGAAAGAGACATTGGGCTGCTAACCACAAAGTTGCAGTTCAAATCCACCATCTGCTCTGTGGGAGAAAGATGAGGCTTTCTGCTCCTATAAAGATTTGATCGCTTCAGAAACCCCACACAAGGCTGTTGAGTAGGAACTGACTTGACGACAACAGAGCAGTAGCAGCAGCAGCAGCAGCGGCATATTCCATTCTACAGAGGTATGGTAAATCTCTCAAATACAAATGAAAACTCTTTCCTAAATAATAGAACTTTGTTCTTTTGACATTATTTTGAATGGCAAATCGTATTGCTAGGATATCTATATGTACCTAAATAATAATATAAAAAATTATCAGCTAACATACCTGCTCTTTATATGCTGATATAATACTATGTTTTCACAATGATAGAGGGAAACTATTTCCCAATCTCACATGTTAAAACATGACTCAGCACATCCACCAGGTGCTATACATAAATCTTCACAAATTTTGACAGAGGCAGGTACTCAACAAGTGACGTTGTCTTATGTCTACTTCCTTATATTGTTGAAAATGAAAGTTACCAGTTGTCCAGAAATGAAAACGTGTTTGGTAACATGGCATATGGACAAAGTTCCAGGATTTCCAAACTGTGATCACTATATGATCCCAGTCTCTGGTTATGCATTTAGACAATGATTTATTGGGAAGAACTTGTTTTGTGGTCACTACTGAAAATACCTGGGAAACACACTAAGTAATAAACCCACAAGCCAGTTCGACCAGGGGCAAGGAAACATTTAGAATGTTGCATTTTGTCTGTATAAATTAAAAACGTCTTCAGCTTCTAGCTTCCGGTGACTCAAACTCAGCTTTTAACATCACAAAAACCCTAATGCAACCTCTTTCTAGAAATCGTCTGAAACATCAAATGTCAGTCGTGTGAATACTCAGACTGTGGTGTAGAAAAGGGGTGAGTTTAACTCCAAAGGAGAGGGGCCCGAGGACTGCCCGGACCCAGACCCGGTAACCGACACGTCCTCAGTACCCAGAGCCGCTGGACCATGGGGGAGCCCGGAGCTGCAGGTCAGAGGGCCGGCCGAGGCGCGAGGGGGTGGGCTAGAAGGGGCAGGGCCC